GCAACCTGATTGTACAATAAATAGGGATTTTCTAAATAACTCAACTGCAGCGCCACCTAGCGGGTCCATTTTTCGCATAAGTATTTTTCATCATGCAGGAAGAACACATTTTGAATTTGAACGAAATCAGTTTATAAATACGGCTTTTATAAATAACTCGGCTCCATCGCCACCAAGGAGTTTTCTAGTAGCCTTTAATAGGACTTTATGCGCATGGAATAACCTCCGAAAATTTGACTTAAATCTATCTTGGGGTTTGAGTTAAATCGCAACAACGAGAACGGCTATCATTTTATACATAAATATATATACATATCTATACATAAATTACTTGTTTTATTATTATTTTATTCGTTATTCGAATAATTAATGAAGATAATAATTATTCGAATAACGAATAAAATAATTTATCCGTCATTCGAATAATTTTTTTTTGAATACAAAAAATTATTTATTATTTACGAATAACAAGAAAAACAATTTATTCATTTGTTATTCGTCATTCGAATAAATTTTGCCCAACTCTGGATGAAAAGTGAAAATTCTTTGGAACGTATTATATTTGCAGTGACTATTTATTCTATTTTTCTTTTGTTGTTGGCCTTTGAATTTTAAATTATGAAATATCTACAATTAAAATATCAATAGCACGAAGATTTGCGTTTTATTTAATTGCAGGGCCTCGAGCTTGTTAGAAATGTTAAAAATTTGGACAGATAAAAATTGTGCGTGTCACCTAATAGAAGCGGTTAGCAACAAACAAACCGTTTGATCTGTTAGGAGATGGTATATTTTTAATGGTTATTACTTCTTTCTTCAAAGCATAACTTTTTAGAATAAGGGGATATGTATGTATATTTGACCATAAAAATATCACTAATTCATAAATAACTAAAAAATTTATGAAATAGGAGGCCCACAATTAAAATGACGTACATAAGTAATTTTTCAAAAAAAAAAAAAACAAGTTCACAAATTAAACTTTTGGCCACCAAAGCAGGAAAGCTGGCCCATAGTGCATAGGGGTATAGCGTCGAACGCCCGATGATGACGCACATTAAGCAGATGACGTTGGTTTGTTGTAGTTTTATACAATAATTGTACTTTTATTTTTTACAAAGCAAACCAAAAAATTCACGCGATCACATTTTTGCTGCAACTAAAACAAACGTCCTGGAGAAGAGTTATGTGAATTTTTTATCATTTTATTTTTTTTCTGCGTCTTCGCTTAATTTTGTTAATATGTAAATACCTATTGTTAAGGTTAAGAACAGTTGTAAATGCAATATTTATTGTGTTGTGGAGCGCATTTTGCAATAATTGGCAGCACAAGTTTCACTCTGAAAACAATGTGCATTTGTACATATGTATGTATAGACGAAAGCGTGGGCATTGATACATACATACACACTGATTTATCTACACTTGTGGTCAGCTGATTAAGTCAGGTGACATTTTACCCAGTTTTGCTTACTTTTACCTCGCTTTGATTATCTCGGGATGTAACTATGTAATATTGATGCGCCTAAAAGATGCAGCGATCTCCATTCTCAAGTTACATACCTGATGACAGTACGAATCGGAATTGCTTTAAAGCTCCATTCTTAAAGTAACCTGATGACAGTACGAATGGAACTTTTAATAGCGAGGTTTTAGTTTTTTAAACCATAATTTTATTTATTCGTTTGTTTATATGATTTTACAATTTTCTTATAAAAGTCGATAACCAGCACCACATAAATTTACATTTCAAGCTTCTTAAAAAAATGCTCAAACTTTAACAATTGCAACCAAAAATTTTACTCTTTTTATTAAAAAATTTTTGCTGATGGTGTTAGGCATTTTCCTCCATATAAAAGATATTGTCGAGCATACTTTAAATGGGAGAAAATGCTAAACCCTGTCAGCCAAAAAATTATTAAAAATCAACGCAATTTTCAAGCATCTTGATATTTGCACTTTAACCTACTTAAATTTAACGGGCTATAAAACTGCAATTTTTTTTATAAATTTTAAGTACAAAATTTAAAATTCTTGGGTGTAATTGTGAAAGTATTTTTAATTTTTATACACTTTGTACGAAGTTTGAAATGTGGATATATGTGATGCTGGTTATGTAATACCTATACTACATCTTTATAAAAAAATATAAGTATTAAATAATTAAAAGAAAAATAGCCAAAACTGGTCAAAATGGCACTTAACTTAATTAGCTGAGCACAAGTGTAGCATGTACCCAAATAATTATTTTTATGCTTCCTTTCGCCCACGCCCGCTAGCTTAAAAACGACAACAACCATTTGTAATATCCATAAATTTTTGACATGTGTAAGTAATATGTGCGTTGGTTGAAAAACTAAATAATTATTTTATGAAGCACTTGACCTCGACAAACCATCTAAGAAAAAAAACAAACAAAAATTATAACAAGTTTTACAAATTTGTATATTTGGCATTCTTGAATTCAGAAGAACACTACAAAACCGTGTCCCGTCCCCACTACGAATACATACGAATACCAATATAGTGGTGGCCGTGCCAACATTTTTTATCACTAATGTCGTCGCTGAACATATCGCTTTTTTTGAATTTCTATCCACTTTCGGTAAGGTATGTTCTACCAAGGCATGGCCGTGAGGTTTCAAGATCAGGGCGTACTCCTGTAAGAACAACCATGGCGCCCTAGTGACCAATGTCCAGAGCATGCTTAAATTAAGGACTAAACACTTTTCCATCCTACTGTATGTCAGCAGCACTGAAAGAAGTGGAGAATACGAATCCGAGCCCTCTGTCGATGACGACGGTACGAAGAGCGATTACGCGGCTGCAAAATAACAAAGCTGTGGGAGATTACTGTCTTTCAGCCGAGTTATTCAAGTGCACCAGCGAGGATTCACCTTGAATGCATCAACCCTTATGCAGAACGCATGCCCAACGAATTTATGTGTGGCGGAATTTAAGTGTGCTCTGCAAATCCACAAAAAAAGTGACCCCGATGCGCCGATTTCCGCGGGATCAACCTTCTAAGCATAGGTTACAACGTTGTTACCTATTTATTATATCTTGCTAATATTAATTTTTCAAAAGATTATTGTGGGGTTTTGAATTTTATTTGCTTATACATATGTAAATATACAATTTCTAGCCGCCAGACATTCAATTTAACTATCTTAAATTTGAAATAAGGGTGAATAACGTAGGGAGATAGATAATTAATAAAGGTATGCACTGCGACCAAAAGATCTATTGTGCCCTCAACTATTTATCATACCCCATCTAATCCTAGGGAACCCAAAAATGTGAGGAGATCCCCAGGGGCTAGCGGTTGTATCAATTCGTCACTTGGCCAGAATTGGCCTAGGTACCTCTGGCATCTTCTCGCCATCGCCTGGCACTCGCGAAGCAGGTGCACAGGAGTCTCCTCAGTCATATCGCAGAAACAACATAGGTCGTTTCACCAGATCCCCAGCTTGTGCAGGTGACCTCTCCGTCTACAGTGACCGTCAGAAAACCTGTTATTATCCTTAACCTTCCTTTGGAGAGATTAATAATTGCCTTGTTCCTTGTAAGGTTATAACCTCCCAGTAGGTATTTCGCTTGACATAGAGCTGTAGTGTTACGCTAGTGTTAATTCCTTAGCCGGTTCCTTTCCTTCCTGAGCTCTTTCTTGATTGCGCTGGGTCCAATCGCTAGGAAGGGCCCAGGCCCTATAAGCGACGAGGCGGCCGCTTCCTCGTTGCCCGCAACTCCTATGCGACCTGGTACCCAAGTTAATTCGATGCCATTGTACTCCGCCAGGCTGTTGAGCTTAGCAATGTACTCAAGAACCGAGATGAGAGAGCTTTGAGTACCGCTTGGCTATCGCCCAATATTAAAATTTTCTCATTACGGTAATTTTTACGTAGCTTAATCTCTTCACACCGTCTGATGGCATAGACCTCCCGCTTGGAAGATATTCGGGTATGCCCCATGCCCCGTGAGCTGTAGCCTTGGTCAATAGACGCCTGCCGCGATGCCTTCCAGAGTCTTGGAGCCGCCTGTGTACCATTGCAATGAGCTCGATTGCATATGCCTCTCCATGAGAGAGGTGATCCAAGTCGACTTGGCGCAAAGCTCTATTTTAAAATTCCTATCAACCACCTTAGGCCTATCATCTCTGGGAGCAAACCTAATAGGGTTGTGACTCTGCCAAAGCCTTCTCTCGCGAAATTTAGTAGAGTTCGCTTTGCAACCTGTTCCATGGTAAGGTGCAGCGGTTTGAGCTCGAGAATCCCCTCCAGCTCTGCCGTCGGACATGTGCGCATTATCCACTTTATGTATGAGTTAACAACCTACTAATTAATTAATAATTTTAAATAATAATCTATAGTAATTGTTGATACGTGGCGTTTGAGTAACATAATTTCCTAATAAATTTCATACAAAAAGAATTAGCTTTTATTGTGTCTGGGAGGACGTTCGGGCCATCGGATTGGTCTGACTTTTCACAAAAGGTATTAAAATAGTGCCCTAAGAAATATATGTATCATTCCATACAATATTTATACCTCAATATTTTTTTGGGGGTGAAATATATTTTTTTACATTCTTTATCGAAAAAACCCAGACATCAATTTTTTATTTCGTCATAATCAGCCCTATCATAGAATCCATCGTAGGCTGTATTTTCGGAGATGTTCCGAAATAGCTATCACGCAATTCGAATTGCTACGACGTAAATTCGAAATTCGTAGGGTTGCACTCACCGAATCCACTCGAAACGTCAAATCGTAGAGTTTCGTACAATTTTTCTACGACGAGTTGTTGCTGTCGGAGAAGAAGCGAAAGGCGCGCAAAATTCTATTATTAAAAGAAAAAATTTTAAAATTACTGAAAAATGTTAACTTTAAATTAATAATAATAAAAATTGAATTAAATTGTGTGGAAATATGTTTTTATTTGGTTTTATAAGGTCCAAAGTGGTAACAACCAGGCAGCAATACGCAGCTTTGCTTGAGCAAATGCAACAGAGCCCTGAAATTGCGCAAGGATTTTCAAAGATTTCGAAGGAAGAAGTTATGGAATTTTGGGAGAATGTGGCTAAGGAGCTAAACAGTCTCGGTCCGCCAACTAAAGATGTATCGAGTTGGAAAAAAGTTAAAAAAATGCATGCATTGTTTGCTAACTAGATATACTTTTCTTCAGGTATGGTTAGACTGGAAGGCATATATTAAAAGAAAACTTGCGGACAACAAAAGAGAACAGTTGGCAGCTGGTGGTGGTCGAAACAGGCAACATAGTTTTAATGAAATGGAAGAAGAGGTAATCCAGCTCACTGCTTTAGAGGCGAGCACGCATGGCATAAAAACCACGGTGAGCGTTGGATTACCTGAGCCAGTGGGCGGAGAAAATGCTGAAGCTGTTGCTGACGTGTCAATGGCCTCTGCTCCCTCTCCCTCACTTCCAAGGCGTGCTCCTGCGGCACAGAAACGTCCCGATACCTCTGCAGCAGATTTGCTAAAAGAGCAGTTGGTCCTGCAGAAAGACTTTTATGAAAAGAGCCTCCAACATTTCACCCAGCAGGACACAAAGCTGGATGAGCTTTGCTCTGGTGTTCGACGGTTGGGTAGAGCCACTGAAAAGGTTTACGAGCTGAAAAAAGAAGGGCTTGAAGAAATTCGCAGGCATAACAGAGCCATGGAAAGTTTAACCGCGGCAAAAAACCAAATAAAACAACAAATAGCAAAATTTTATTTAAATTAATTTTTGGCAATCTTTTATTTCATGTTTATTATTAGTTAAAACCAGTCTTATCTTCGTATACTTATTAGTGTTCTCGTTATAGATTGTCTAATCTCTGAAGCTGCATCATTAAAAGTGGATGATGAAGGCTCACTATTTTCGTTCTCATAATATGGTTCCAAGTTTTCTGAAACATCATCAACCACGCGATAATGAATACAAATGTTGTGCAACGCTGCTGCAACATTTGCGATTTGACATACCTTCGAAGGCTCGTAATGAAGTTCACGAGCGCCTAGAAGACATCTAAATCTATTTNTTTCTGAAACATCATCAACCACGCGATAATGAATACAAATGTTGTGCCACGCTGATGCAACATTTGCGATTTGACATACCTTCGAAGGCTCGTAATGAAGTTCACGAGCGCATAGAAGACATCTAAATCTATTTTTTAAAAGACCAATTGTTCTTTATATAATATTTCTAGCTTTGGCGTGTATCTTGTTGTAATGGCTTTCGGAGCTACCAGGCGGAGGTGAACGGAAAGGTGTCATCAACCATGGTTCCAAGGAGTATCCAGCATCCCCTGAACGTGGAAAAACGATTTTTATAAATTTTCACTTAAATTCTGTTTACCTACGCAAAATCCAGGTGTTACGTTCACCATTTAGTAGTTCCTCTCAAAGAAACATCTCGCATTGCTGACGTTCATTATATGGGAATCGTGATTGCTTCCTGGGTACTGCGCATTCACATAGCGGATTTTCATTTTGTTATCGCAAATCTGCAAATAATTTAATTAAACCTTGATGCATAACTTGTCTATCAAACTTACTATCATGGCATTGATGCTGTAGTAGCCTTTTCGGTTATAATACAGGAATTTGTCTTCAGTGGGAGAAATTATTTTAATATGAGTCCCGTCCACACACAACACTACTCCAGGAAACCCTGTTTTTTGGTAAAAGTCCATCTTTGCTTGCCGTTTTTCGTCATCACTTAAGTTAAGGTTTATCCAATGTGGGCAAATATGAGTTTGTAACAACGCCAATACGTATTTTAAAACGCAGCAAAGTGTGGACTGAGCCATCGGTATGTCATAATCCTTGCCCACTCCATGCTGATAGCCTCGCTCCGCGAGAAATCTTAAAACAGAAGATAGCCGATGAACTAGGCTTATGGATGACGAGCAAGAAGGAGCTGCTTTCTCTTCCAAAACACTTAGGACGTACGTAAAAGCGGCTTTGTTTAAGCGAAAATTTTTTATGAACATGCATTAAAGTGCAGTTAGAAATAACGTAATCATCAACACACTACACTTACATTACTTCTGGCATTTTCAAAGTTTTTCTCTGAATTTTAATAGCGAACCTAGTAATAGAACGATACGAGTACCGAGTACAGAATATCGATACTTTTCATGAGTACTGAGTAGTATCGAGAACTCGATACTTTTTCACAAGTACTGAGTAAATATCGCGAATGCCGAAAAGTATCGACGAGTTAAAAACTTTTCTAAGTATTTTTTTTTTAATTACTCAATAAATATTGTGGCGAATGTTCGAATATTAACTTCAATATTCAATATGAATGTTATGAAAATGAACATAAAACTCATTTACTTCAGTAATTTCGTAACTCAAAAACCGAAAACCCGAGAAACACGCCTTTAAAGTTTTTAATTGACATAACGTCACCCTCATGCCAGAAGCATGAATGTGCAAATTTATCAGTTTTGAGTTATTGGGCTGACTTGGTTAATCTTTGGATTTTCTATGTTATACCAAGACCCAGAATACAATGCATACACGGAAAGTAAATATTTTAGCATTTCAATTGCATAAATGTAGAGCTAAGTGTCGCAAAAAAACTTTCAAACTTGTTTTCCCAAAATGTTCGTTTTTACACATTCATGTTTATGGCATACGGACGACGATATGTATACTAATAATTAATACATATTTTGTCCTAGTGAGCTCCTGGTAACTGACACAGTTATGAAATTTTTACACAACCTAGAAGAAAATGTAGCGGTCATTACAACATTGGTAAAAATGTTTAAATAATTGAAAAACGAATATCTTGCCTCCCCTTTGATAATGAATGGTGGAAGAGGTTAGTCTTTCGACTCGACAACTTGGCCACTCCCCAGCATAAGGCAGCCGTCGTTAACCCAAGTATTCTACCTTCGTTGTGAAATCCAGCCCATTCTTGAAGACAATTTTTATAAAAGAGAGCTTATCTTTCCAATAAAGAATGGGCTTCACCACACTTGCTTCTCGTCTTCTACATTTACATTTCATTTTCAAAGTAAAGTTATTTATAAATACATGTACGCGTCAAACAATTATAAAAAATTTGCTTTTAAAAACTTGGAAGTAAGCTTTTTGCTATAAACATTTAATTTACGCATGTAAAACTAATTTATTTTTCAATTTTTCCTAATAAACAATCGTGGTACAAAGCTCAATAAAAATATTAAAAATAAAATGTTAACAAGCCACAATAACATTGACAAATACATAGTTTAGGAAGAGCCTGCCTGAAACTATACAAAAAAGCAAATAAGCAAATGGATGTATAGAATTGACAACAACAACCACGCTGTCGAGTTTAAATAGCGGCAAATCAGCTGCACTTGATAGTAGTTGGTTGAATAAGGAAAATGAATTAGCAACAAGAGTTTACGGGATGTACATAGCTCAGTGGTTAACGCTTCTGACTTTGAACATCGAATTCGCAGGTTCGATCCCTGCTGAAGTCTAGAAAAAAGAAGTCTGATGAGGAGATGTGGTGATCTCCGAAATAGTGCTATAACTTCTACCGCTTAGACTTTGTTGCTTTTTCAATTTTTCCTAATAAACAATCGTGGTACAAAGCTCAATAAAAACATTAAAAATAAAATGTTAACAAGCCAGAATAACATTGACTAATTTATCGGAAGTTTATTCCAAAAACTCCTTTAGATCAGATTAAAACTAAATACTAATTGCAGTGAATATCAATTTACAAATAGGAAGAGGCGAAAAAGCAAAGCAATCTGATATTTTTTTTTTTTACTTTTTGCGTTTGCTTTAGGAATACTTGGAAGTACGAGTATTATCGATACTTTTTTGCAAATATGAGTACTAGCATACTTTTTAGAGTATTCTATATGAGTACTAGTATCGATACTTTTCTAAAAAGTTCTATCACTAAGCGGACCTGCTTTCCTCTACCATCAGCATGATTGCACTCGCCAGTGAATCCATTTTTTTATTGATAATTTTATAAAAATGTATAAAATCAAAAATATTGCACGATTAAATTATTTTGTTCACTTTCAGCCAGCTGATTGCGAAACTTCGTACTTCGAAATTTTAATTTGGCAGCACTGTTTTCGAGTTCACTCGGACTCAGTGATAGCAATTTTTTCGTATTCGTAGCGGACATCCGAATTCGTAGATTCTCTACGATGGATTCTATGATAGGGCTAATTATTCGAAGATCTCGAAAAGAAATCCCGAAATTTTGAACTCACGGAGAAGTATCTTTTTTCAATTGATTGCAGTTTATAAACTGTTTGTCGGAGAAAATCAGTTAAGCAATCAAAATGTGCGGCTTTCCATGAGAGTGTGAGGTAGATAGAAATAAAAAAAATTTGCATTGAAAAATCGCATTTTTTATTTTTTCATTTTATCATGTTTGATTTTTATTTTTTTCAAACTGAATAGTTGTCAAACTTTATGGAGTACGCTGTAAAAATTTGAGAATGGAGACACCAAAACTGTAGAAGTTACGAGTTCTTTCATACCTACGTACATAAACTTTAGTATAAACTTTATAAATTCAAAATTTCGGGAATTATTTTTCGAGATTTTCGAATATTATGACGAAATAAAAAATTAGTGTCTTCTTTTTTTCGATAAAGAATGTAAAAATATATATTTCACCCCAAAAAAAATATTGAGGTGTAAATATTGTATGGAATGGCCCATATATACAGTTTGGGAGAGAGATTACAAGGGTACCATTCATCAACGTATTCTTTGTGTTAAGATTGCTTATATGTAAGCATTACAATACAGCTTTGTTTTAGTACTATGGAGGTAATCCGCTGACAGTTAAAAAGTTTAACAAATTCAATAGGGTAATTGCTATGCTCCCGCACATCATCACAAATAATTGTATCAACATGACTTTTCTTATTTCGGCATACGCTCCAAAATGTCTACATTGAAAAAAGAGCAATCATTTTTGTTTTTTTTTTTGTCAATATAACAAATGCAAAATGTCATCAGGAAGAATATTCTCCCCAATATTCCCAAAATATCGCAATTACGTATATTATTAGAGAAACTACAAACTCAGTTTCATGTGGGAGGGCTCTCATATTAAGCGTCAAAGTAAAATGGTGTAAAAGAGGAAACTTCAGACTGAGGTTTAGCTCAATTTTCAATTAAGGAGAAACGGGAACCATGGGGAACTGCCGGCAAAATTCGGCGTAAATCACCAGAAATTAAAATTGTCTTTCTCTCAATTTGATCTTCTTTATCTCCGGTTGCACTTAGATCACCTTAAAGTCTGATAACTCTAATCTTCTGAACACTAACTTTCGATAGTTTGATGGAAATCGATGACTCGACTAATTTCGATAACTATCGATAAATTTCATAAAATTAAATTAATTAAAATCGATAACTCAAAAAATTTCGATAACTGTGCATTTTCACTCGATAACTCATCAAATTTCGAACATTCGATAACTTGTGATAACTCGATAAATTTATATAACCCTATAAATTTCAATAACTCCATATACTTTTAAAATGCGAAAAATTAGGATTCGATAAACCTACAAGATTCGATAACTGCCAACAAAGTTTGATAAATCAATGAATATCTATAGCTTGATAAGTTGAAAGGACTTGATAATTTTCGATAATTATATTTTTCTTGACCTGATATACGTATTTCGATTCTTATCGAAAAATTTCAATTTTCAATTTCCTTCCTTTCAGTTACCCTAATTCTTATGTAAATATGAATGTATGTAGACAATATGCATTTCTTTATCGTTAATTGTGCCAACAAGTGTTGTTTACCTTCACCGTTTTTTAACATTTCTTTTTTCATCTTCAAATTTATCTATTCATCTTCATTTCTAATACGAAGTTAAACAAAAAGCA